CACTGACAAGATGAAATCCAGACACTGTATACCATTCAGGGTTGTTCAAACCTCATCTCTATGTATTTCCTCGAATGTCTCACTGCATCTTTACATGAACCCTTCCCTTAAAACACACTGGGTACCTACCTTTATCTAAACATATCCCTGACCATCCCCAGCCCTTCCTTCTTTCTTTTCTCTCTGCCAGGCACATGCTCTTGCTGGTACCTCTCTGTAAGACTTACTTTCCTTTTGATGGCCTGCTAAATTTCCATTCCTTGTCAATGTTTAATTTCTGTAAATGCAACATGTTAAACTAGGTATACAATGCTATTAAGCTGTATAAATGCCTCCTTGTGTAAAATACGTATGACCACTACTTTATACTTAATATGCAATGTCTGTTCTAATGTGGAAAGGCACCATGTGGCTTCTTACAGTATCACTGAAATGAGGTATTTATGTGAGAAGTGTTTAGGTAAAGTAACATAACCCTGTTTAAATAATTTGTGGGCTCAGAAATAGTGAAATAAGAACTATGTAGTAATCAAATTCCACAATTAGTCAAGGTTTTGGTTTAACTTATTAAACTTAAAGTACTCGTATTGGTGCTTGCCTGCCTGGCATCATTTACTCCCATCTCTCAATGGTACTCAGACTTGGTTAGCATGTCTACCCTACTATGTAGCCTCTCCTTTGCAAAAACTGACCTTATCCATAGGTCAAAAGGGGGGTCCTGAATAGTGTAACAATTAAGAGCACACAGCAGTTGGTTCGGGAGCCCATGAGAAATGAGAGCTGAAGGAGCATGCACTGGCAGCTCTGGAAAAGGAGGCCTCCTACTCTTAAGGAAGAACTATGGAAAAAGTGATCTCTTTGTGATTCCATTTAATTAGGGTCCATGCAGGTTTGAATGCTATGAGCAGCCATCTCATAAGTACAGAGATAAAGCCAATAAACTTCCTTATAGTTTAAGTGAGGTTAAATAATATCGGTATTATCTGTAGCATCCTGACTAAATAGGAAACTTAAATACTAAGAAACATATGCAGTATATTCCATGAAATTGAGAAACTTTCAAGTAATTTTTAGACAATTACTATTTATGGAGAAGTACTTAAAATCTAAAAATGTGACTTTCAAAGCTATAATAAAGTATAAGTAGATACGTAAGAAATCTGCCAACATTTCAAAAAAAGTGATCTGCTGTTCCACGTGCTCAGAGGAAATACCGACCTGCACTAACTACAAGTCACGTGCTTTGGTTTTTTAAGCCAGATTTATCGAGACGTAACTTACAAATAGTAAAATTCACCTTTCTGGTGAATACTTCTAGGAGTTTGGACAAATGCTTATAATCACGTCACCACCACCACAATCAGGACTCACAACATTTCATCGAAACTTTTCTTATGTCTTTGCAGCCACGCCCACTCCTCTCCCACCACCAGCTCCTAGTAATCTCTGATCTGGCCTGTTCCCGAATGTCATGTGAATGCAATCACATAGTATGTGCCTTTTGAGTCTTGCTTGTTTCATTATCAAAATGCATCTGAGATACATCCTTGTTGTTATCAGTATCAGCAGTTTGCTCCTTTCAAGTCCTTCATTTTATTCTAAAAGTGGTGATATACATCTTGGGTTTTTTTCTTTTTTTTTTTTTTGGTGGTGGGAGGTAATTAGGTTTACCTGTTTTTTTAAATGGAGGTACTAGGGATTGAACCCAGGACCCTGTGCATGCTAGGCAGGCACTCTACCACTGAGCTATACCCTCCCCCTACATCTTGTTAACCCACTATATTCTTTTGTCTGTCCTAATTCTAGTTCTTACAAATATCTTTAAAGGAAAAAACAACCCAGCAGAATTTGTGCCGTGATAAAATAATACGTCTTTTATCAGTCAGAGAATTCATTAACCAGCAGGTCATACTGCCCATTGCTGTGCAATGAAGTCACCCCTGAGATCTTCCACATCCTACCGGATCTTGAATAGGAAGCTTATAAAAACAATCTTTTGCTGATGGCAAATCATACTTTAGCTGAACACGGCAACTGTGAGTATCTTGGTCATATTTTGCAAAATCTGAAGGGACGCCAGCAGTTATTAGTAAAAGTTATGTTCCTTCTACGCAGATGGTCTTCTGATATTTGGTCCCTGAACTTGCCAAAGCCAACACAAAGCTAAGCGAAACTAGACTTCTGATAGGTGGTTTAATCCCTCACATAAAAGGCTTGTGACCAGTTACCAGGGACTTTGTGGTGGAAGTGAGGAAATCGCAGACTCATGGGGCCTTTCTTCAGGTTAATCACAACGATAATAGTATCTCCGTAATAAGAACAGCTAACACGTACTCACTCATCGCTCGCTGTGTGCCAGGCTGCTGTAAGTATTCCACACAGGCTGGTCCTTACAACAACTCTATAAAATAGAGCCAGTATGACTCCTATTCAACTGCAGCGCACATACAAACAAAACAAAGTTCCAAGACTCAAAGAGGCCTGAGAACCTGCCCAAGTCTGCACAGTTAGAAAGCCACTGAATTAGAGTCTAAGCGTGTAGGAGAGGATGCGACTTTAGGCAACTTTTCAGCAAATAGTTGGCTGTCACTCTAACCCCTCTGCAACAAAAAAAGTCGACTGTACTGCCCCAATTCCCAGGCCGTGGGGGCACCAGGAGTGCTGTCCGGCTCAGCGGACCCCAGACGCCCACCCAAGCCCTTTGAGCACCAGGCATGGGCTCTAAGGTGCCTTCAGAAGAGGTGTGTGTGTTGGGGGGGGGGTATAGCTCAAAGTGCTAGAGCACATGCTTAGCATGCATGAGTTCCTGGGTTCAATCCCCAGTACCTCCTTCAAAAACAAACAAATAAATAAACCTAATTACTTCCCTTCCCCCCAAGAAAAGTTTAAAAGAAAGAAAAAAAGAAGAGATAGAGGGTAGGTGACTGGGCCAGGGAGGATTCCTCAGTGATGACCTGGCAGGTGGCCACTAGCCAAAGAATGTGAGTGATAGTCCTCAC